AGAAAAGAAGTTAAACAAAGCTGGAAAGAAAGGGTGGCCTACATCACCTATGCCCAGAGGCAAGGAAGGAAATGTTCATTTAGGAAACGAAGAAGCATTAAATTGTATTACTTACTTTTCATTTAAACTTATTACTTGTATTACTTACTCTGACCAAGCACCACAAGCAAGCCAATTTATGGGAAGGCAGGTCTATTTGCAGCCTACAGATCCAGGGAGATAAGAGTCCATTTCCATCCTGACAGAGAAACTTGGCTCCAGGCAGACGTGGCAGCCAGAAAAAGAGCAGATTACTCTCATCTTAAACTGTGAGCAGGAAGCAAAGAACAAACAGAATGGCATTTGCCTTTAAAATCTCAAAGCCCACCCACAGTGAGATGCTTCCTCCAACAAGGCTACACCTCCTAAGTCTCCCCAAACAGCACCACTAAGTGGGGAACAAGCAATCAAATACCCAAGACTGAGGGGTTGGGGGGAACCTTTATCAGTCTAACCTCCACATAAATAAAGGCATAAGGTTTAAAACCCAATACCAGGCCTGCCATGCTGAAACCTGGTGCTAGAAAGATCCCTAAATCCATGACTCTAAGCCGTTTCTCAAGGAGTGAGACACTGCAACAGGGCTAGGCAGGTGCCCAAGTGGCTTCCAGACCATAATTCCTCCAGCATTGGACAGAGCCCAGAGCAGAGAGCAAGACTCGGCTACAAAGAGCAGAACACAAAAGCCAATGCAGGACTTTGCCCTGGAACTCAGCTTGTTCAGCCTACTTTCTTATAAAACCCATGATGGCCAGCCCAGGGATGGCCCCACCCACAATGGGACGGCCCTCACCAGTCGGTAATTAAGAAAATGCCCTACAGCCAGATCATTTTTTTCTTTTTTTTTCCCATTTTTTATTTTATTTTTTTGTTGTTGTTGAAAAAATTTACGCTTCCTCCCCGCCTCCCATTTCCCTCCCTCTCCTCCCACTCTTCTCCCCCTCCCCCCACTCCATTCCCCCTCCCTCTTGAGTCTGAAGAGCAGTCCAGATTCCCTGCCCTGTGGGAAGTCCAAGGTCCTCCCCCCTCCATCCAGGTCCAGGAAGGTGAGCATCCAAACAGGCTAGGCTCCCACAAAGCCAGTTCATGCAGTAGGATAAAAACCTAGTGCCATTGTCCTTGGCTTCTCATCAGCCTTCATTGTCAGGCATGTTCAGAGAGTCTGGTTTGATCCCTACAGCCAGATCTTATGGAGTCATTTTCTCAGCCGAGGTTCCCTCCTTTCAGATGACTCTAGTGTGTGTCAAGTTGACACAAAACTAGCTATGGAAGCTATCATTAGCCCTTTCTCCTTTAAGTTGCTTTTGCTGCTATATTTTGTCACAGCAACAGAAAAGTACTCAGGACAAAGATAAAGCTCGAAGGTATTTGAGATCATTCTTTTCAAAATGGTAAGACCTTGTCTCAAAAAAAAAAAAAATACAAAACCAAATAAATTCAAATTCAAAAGTAATCAAGATATTGGGATTATTTTGACTGGGAAAGCTTTTGCCCAGAGAGGAGAAGAGAAGGGTATAGCGATCTGAAAAGGGAATTGGGAAACCCAGGCATGAGGGTTATTCTAATTAGGGAGGGGGAGGATAAATAACAGAAGTAGGAAGGTAAAATAGCAGTAATGGTGTCTGAAAAGGTCCTAGGGAATAATCATATGAATTGTCTACTTGAGGATATCTATGATGCATTAAGCCATTGTATAAATACACATATATAATATAAATGAATTTCTACTGGTACTTCCTCCAAGAGCCAAAGGCTTTCTAACAAAGTCTCCAATATTTGACATAAGAATCTCTCTTTTGAGTTGTTATTCAGAGTTGTCCAATACACTCCTCAAACATTATAGGCTTCTACCCTTGGTTGCCCCCATCTACGTGAAAGATAAATCCCTGTTGCCCAAAACAACTTGGAACATAGGCCCCGAAGCACCCAAGCTGGAACTGACTTGAATGAATGGTGACTTTTCTAGTAATGAAAGGTGCTATGGAAGCTTCCAAAAGGGGGAAGAAACCAGCAGACTGACCCAGCTATAATGCCTATGATCCATAACAGCATCTATCCTGGCATGATAACCCTAAGGGTGCAATTATGGAACTCATAGCTTGGTTGTAACCAACCGCTCTCTAACTGGACTTAAGACTTTCTCAGCAAGAGGGGAAATATGTCTGGTACTGGAAATCTAGGCAGCTACCAAAGCCAGTGAAATCAGGAATCCCAGAAGAGAACCACTGTTTTACTAAACCAGCATTCTAGTAAGCCAGGGATTAAATGTAGCTACTCCCTAACTGTATTCTAAATATATATCCCTGAATCCATAGATAAGTGCGGTTCTTCCCATCATCAAAGAAACCTCTCTTTGCAATGGATGGAGACCATGACAAAAAACCCCAGCCAACAAAAATGTAGAGTTGTCGAACCTAATCTTGACTGCTAAAATTTATAGCACAACTCCTATACCTAAAACTCATCGCAATGATCATTGAAAATGAGGAGGTGGAAAGATTGGAAGAGCTAGAGACACAGGGAGCTGACTTTGCGATTGTGTCTTCTAGTAAAATCAGAAGTTACGGACATAATGTCTCACTAACAGGACAGTCTGAACAAGGATAGCACTGATAGGCATGCTAATGTGGACAGGTGAAAGTTTATAGGCCCTTAAGTCTACCAAAACAACTACAGGCAACTAAAAAATGCTGAGAGTGGTAGAACGTCTTCAGGCACACCAATACCAGATGATGAGTTCAAAAAACGTCCAAGAAATGTTATTTATACTGGCTGAGCACATTGTATTTATATATTTAGGAATATACATGCGTGTGTGTGTGTGTGTGTGTATACGCAACAGCAATTAACACAAAAATGAGGGTGTGAATTGGAAAGAAAGAGAGAGTTGGATTATACGGAGCTGTTTGGACAGGGGAAAGGTAAGGGAATAATGATGCCATCCAATTATAATCTTAAAAAGAAAAACAGCATAATGAACTACCAACCAACAGATGGGATAAAACATTTGTAAATCATAAATTTAAAAAGGAATATCTAGGAGTGAAATTGAGGAGTGGATCCTGCCTTAATTGCATGTTTAACATGTTGAGGAAATTCCTCAATTTCCAAAACAGCTTGGTCATTTTATACAAAATGCCGTAGCATCTTTGCCCCCACAAATCATAACTCCACATTTTGAGTTTTAGTTAACTTTACTTCTGTCATGAGATAATCTTGCAATTTGAGACACTTAAAACACTGCACTTGACATAAAGAAACCTGCATATTGTTTAAGGGCAGCAAAGGGAAGAGGATAAGACACTGTAGTAGAAAAGGGTTCAGCATGTAGCTCATTTCAACCATCAAAGACTAGCAGAGACGTAGGTGAGCCAGTAACTGCTCCCTTCCCCATTCAGTCTTCAGACTTCAATAGCACAGCCATCTGATGAGTCTAGAGAATGGTGCATATCCAATAAAGATTCAGATCCCTAATGGAAGATACTGAACTGGAGATTTTTATGCACTGACTTTATCGTGTGGAGGAAGAAGTCAAGGCACTGTGATGTCTCAGTGGAATCATTTGCCAGCACCATAGGGAGGCCATGGACTCTGGCTGTGGTTAGAGAGGTGAGCATCACAGAAAGCTACCCTTCTCCCCAGAAGCAGGAACCTCACAATGAGGCAAACCGCAAAGAGGATAACCACTGGAAATGATGTTCTTGTGTATTCTCAACATATATGAAGTAAATTTTGGGAAGAATATGTACTAATACATGAGAGCACTATTATGGTAACCTTAGTCCAGTGATGACTCAAACTGCAATTCTCCTAGTACCTCCTAGAACTTGCTTTGCATTTATGAATTTGACTAACCAATTTCTCATTTACTGAATTGGATTTTGGGGGAATCTCCTACTTGAATGTTTTTACAAAGGTAGTTAATTATTATACCTTCATTTAGAATCACCATTTATGATTCTATTGGACTCTATATTTCCCCCAATCGGGTGTTAATGGAAGAATGTGTACAACTTCTAGTTCTTGCTCTCAAAGGAACAAACAGCAATCACTTCCCATCTTCCATTCCTCTCTTTTGTTAGCTGGATGGAGACTGAGAAAGTGGGGAAGATAGGGAATCATTCTGGGCCATCAAGGTAGAAGATGGACGGTGCATGTTGAAATGATAGAACAAAAACTGGAGAAGGAGGAGGAGGATGCTAGGTATAATCATGCCTACCCACCCTTGTGTGTGGGGGAGGAACAAGCTTTCATAGCTTCTGAGTTTGCTATTTCAGGGCACCTATCATTTAACATTAGTAATTTAGAGATAATGAACTTTAACCTCTAAAACACAGTGATGTCAGTGTATTTGGAATAAGAGAGAAATCCCTTAGGTTGTGATCCGATGTTGGTAACATATATCAAAACACTGGAGTGAAATGAAAGGAGAAACACGGTGCAGTTATAAAAGTTGCGGTCATCCACAAAGGCTGCATCATGGATTTCAAATGCTGCGAAAACAGCTATAAAAATGCCTCTGAGAAGCCAGAGTAGAAATGATGTGGAACTCCTGAGAACTATGAACAAGTCAAGGTGTCACAGGGGAGGGGGATGTGGCACAGTAAAAGTAGTGGTGCAACTGGAACCCAGAAATGGAAAAGAATCAAGAGAACATTGGAACGGAATAGTGTGTGTGTGTGTGTGTGTGTGTGTGTGGTGGTGGGGGGGGACAGATGTGACACACCACACTGTCCCAAGGGCACTGAGAGTCCTGACTGGCCTGCGTTCTCTGTAAGTTGCAGAATTAATACTGTGTAAATGAATCCACAGTCTCACTAAGCACTTGCACAATTGCATTTATTTTCCAGGTGCAGTTAATAACAGAATGAAATGCCCCATTGGGAGCCTTGGTTTGTGAATAAGACATTCTAGGGTTTATCCATTCTCACTAAAGCAATGCAATTGGAAAAGCAATGCAGCTATTGGCTGTCTGTAGACTGTTCACACTGGTCCAGACAGGAGCAGGTTGTAGTGTGCCTGTATCTGTATTCGAGGGTGCTGCCATCAGAGCAATCGAGGGCAATGTCCCTGTATTCATAGTTGTCTTCACGGCAGCAAACACAGGAATTTTCCAATTGGAAGGTCTCATAATTGTACCTAAGAGAAAGGAAACCAGGAATAAATATTTTGAAACATTTACAAGCATCAATAACTTGACGTCAATGCTCTATCAAATTTTCTAATGGCTTTCTTAAAAGGCTTACTAGCCTTGACTTAATGTGATCTTTTTCTAGACCTTGCTTCCCTTCCAATTGCAAAACTCTGAAGATCAGTGAGAACTGTCATTTGAAACAAGAATGAGATTAAGAAGGAAGAGTTGTCGCCGAATAATGGGAACATTGTGGTGTAAAAAAAAATGTAAATAAGAGATTTTAAATCACTGTCAAATTATAATTATTCTCACTAAATTAATTTATGTGTAAAATTGTATATTAAGGAAAACATGCGTGTCATTCTAAAATTCAACTTCAGAATGATTGGGTAATGTACTTCCTGGAGTATGAATCTTCTATCGTCACTACAGGAAAATGAATGCATTTATCACAGATGTGTTAAGCATGTTTAGAAAGTGACTTCAGAATAACTGGGGGCTAAAGTGATTACTTTTAATCCTCAGGTCTTAGTGTTTTATATATTCTTCCTTTGCATCCTAATCAGGATGTTCTTTCCTGTCAAACCACTCTACGTGATGTTGCTTGATTTTTCTCTATGCATCAAGTGTGGAACACATTCAAAGGAAAACTTACTTGAGGGTCCTTTTGCAGTCTCCTATACATCTGGCCATCTCAACTCTCTTCCTACAGCCATTATACCTAATGGTCACATTCACAGGAGAAGTTCTGCACTCACTCTTACCTAAAGCAAAATGTACAACGGACAAAGAAGTGAGAGTTACCATCTTAACTATTACTCGATGTACATTATCTTAACCAAAGGGAAGAGGCACACAAACTACTTCGCCATGTTATTAAGGAAAATAACTATCTCGACCCAGGTTGTGAAAGGAACTTCATTAAGATTTGGATAGATATTATCTGATTATTGCTTATAGTTCTGGTGAAGGGGAAAGGGAGCAACAAGTAGAAGAAAGGGAGAGGAGCCAGGCTGAGCAGAGAAGATGATGGGACATCGCTGACGAGCAGTTTCTCATTGCCGATTACATAACCTTGCGTTCTAATACACAGATTAACAATGCAGACTGCTGGTGTTAGGACAGAAAAGTCATCTTCTTTTTACACACGAATCACAACAAAATCCCTTGCAAATATAACTGCGCATTATTTTCACAAGAAAAGCGACTGCTATCAATAAGCAGCTATAACGCCCTTTGCAAGCGTATCAATTGACAGCTTCTATTTCAACCCAGGTTTCTGTATTTAAACACAACTGGTAAATGATCTGCCATTCTGTCTTAACAAAATGCTACTTTTTCAACCACGTAGATATTTTCTATAGAGAGAGGTTATCTTACATGTATAGCAACATTTCTTTGAATCGTAGGTTCTCTCTCCCTGTAGAAACAAAAAATTGAAATATTTGTTATTGAATGAAATATGGCATTTCTTAATATACTAAAGTAGCCACAGGAAGGGGAAATGGAAAGAGATGAGCATGCTGATATCAACTCTAGAGCTAGGCAAGAGCAGAAAGTGTTGAACTTGGTAATAAACATGAGACTGGGTGCTTAAGACTGGAAGATTTTGCAGTGACAGGAAGAAAGGGAAAAGAATATGCAAATACGAAAACAAATTATGCTTCACTTACTTTAAAGGAAAAATCCTTTAACACAATACCAGATGCCATCGGCTTGTTTTACTTAAGATCTGCGCTCCAGCTTTGTTTTCAATTCAAACTTTCCTGACTCTTAAGATGAAACCCAAGTAAACTATTGAAATATAGGGTTTGGATTCTAAAATAATGCTTTCAGCTATGTTATAAGTTATAGATGCAGAAAGAAAAGTGATAATTTAATATTGAGTATTAACTAATATAAAAAACCCACATCCATTAAGTGTGTTGGCACGAACTAGAACCATTTGAGGAGAAAGAATCTCATTTTAAAAAAATATCCCAACTAGCCAGTAGGAAAGCTTGTGGAGAAATTTTCTTGATTAATTGTTAATAAAGGAGGACCAACTCACTGAAGGCAATGCCAACCCTGGTTTGGTGGCCCTGGGTGGATAAGAAAACAGCCTGGAAAGCTATAAGTGTAAACCAGTAAGCAGCACTCCTCCATGGCCTCCGCATCAGCTCCTGTTTCTTGGTTCCTGCCTTAAGTTACTGTCCTGACTGCCTTAGTGACGTGTGACATGAGAATTGAAAAATGAATAAATCCTTTCCTCTTCAAGTTCTTTTGATCATGGTGTTCATCACAGTAATAGAAACGAAAATACAAAGGCAGAGAAATAATGGCTGTGGCACAAAGATATAAATATACAGATATGTGTCATTTTAGAGAATTTGAAGTTTTATAGGAAGTAATTAAGTATGAACTTTCAATAAAAAGGTGGTTTTTTGTTTTGTTTATAAAATAGTGAAGGGGGATTTGGCTCAATAGGTTAGAGTCATTGTTTCTTTATTTGTTGTTGGTTTCCTGAGAAAATTTTAAAAATTTAATTAAAATCTAATTATATCATCAAATATTTTTATGCCCCCAATCAATCTCCCTTTTGAATTCATGACTTTGCATTTTTTAATTATTATTGTTACATATGTATGTATATATATATATGTATGAATATGTAGTCAAGTTTATACACACACAAAGAGAGAGGGACAGAAACAGAGAATTTGTAGTCCTTACAAAGGACCCAGCTTTAGTTTCTAGATCCTACAACCAACCATACTCTAATTCCAAGAAACCAATACTCTCTTCTGACCTTTGAGGGTACCAGGCATGAGCATAGTGTAGATACACACATGCAGATAAAACACTCACACACAAGTTAAAAGAAATAAATAGAATAGCTAACATTTGTTAGACCATGACTTACTTCTGCGCACCAGGTTTGCTTCGGGCAGTTCTGAACCACAGCTGCCAAACCAGTGCTGTTGCAGGTGTAGGAGACACATGGGTTGCTAGGGTCATCAAAGGATGTACCAATCTGAAAGGTGATCAGGGAAGGAAAGCAGTTATTTGCCTTAGAATATAATTTAACTTAGCAGTTAAAAACTGCTAGAAAAAACAAAAGAAAGGAAGAAAAGGGATGAAATTTTTTTAGTGTCTGTAAAGAGATGATTTCAGTTGTTATAAACAGTTAAGGAAAGGTGGTTCTTCAACTTCAGTGAATATAAATCAAAATTCTCTATTGGGGACATGGACAGCTTCAAGATTCCCAATCTTCAAAATAAATCTTATGACAGTATTATATGTTTAAGTATATTTTTCAAGGATGGATGTTTCATAGTAAGCAAGATGTTCACCAATTGTTGTGCTCTATGCTTCATGAAAAGTATGACATCTAAGCAAAATGACACAAAGAGGTTTATTGAATTAAGACTCATGGTAAAAACACTTTCTGCAAGTTAAAATGATAACTTGAGTTGGATCTTAGGAATTCACTGTAGAGAGAGAGAATTGATGCCTAATAGGTACCCTTGGCCTTCACACAGGCACCATGCTGCAGGCACACACGCCAATAATAGATAAAAGTTTAAGTGAGTACTAAGAGCGCTTAGAGATTAGTGGTTGCGTCCTTGCTGTTCTTCCAGAAGACCAGGATTTGGTTCCCAGCACCCAAATAGTGGCTCAGCATCTATACCTCAGTTCCAGGGGGCCCAGGGCACTCTTCTGTCTTCCGAGGGCCCCAAGAACCCTTTGGTGCACATGCATCCATGAAAATTAATATACATGAATATAAAACTTATATTTAAACACATATATTTATACACATAACAAAAAAACACTAAAACATGTATACACATAAAAAAAACAAACAAATCTTTATAGTAGGGTTAATGGCAATTCTCCCAAGTTGCCTTACTTCTATCTTTGTTAAAACTCTTTGGACTGTTTTGTAATTAATTTCTGTCCAGCATTCCAATGAAGCACAGTCTGAGAAACAATGTTTAATTCAAGTCAGTGGTTCTCAGCCTTCATGATGTTGCAACCCTTTAATACAGTTTTTCATGTGTGGTGACCCCCAACCATAAAATTATTTTGTTGCTACTTCATAACATCAGTTTTGCCACTGTTGTGAATTATGACATAAGTGTCTGATATGCAGGATATCTGATATGTGACCCCTGTGGAAGGTTCAGTTGACCCCCAAGTGGGTTGTGACCCCCAGGTTGAAAACTACTGATTTAAGGCTTTAGGGCAAAAGATAAATCCCTATTAAAGGAAATTTTATGGCTTCAACCCTTTCATTAGAAAGTCATTAGCATTTCCTTTCGGATCTTTACTTAATAGGCTGTGTGTTGTCTAGAGTCACACCAGTTTGGAAAGTTGAGAAAATCAGAACAGAATGCGAGCCAGTTGAATTTTACAAGCACTCCGTTACGTGTTTCTTAGCATGCCTCGTTTACTTTCCTTTGAGTTTTAAGTATTTATCAACACCAGCGGAGAGTGTTAGTATCAGTTCGGGAATCACTGGACATTTTTGGTTTCACAAAGCCTTTTGTAGAAAGTGAAGCCTAAGCCCTGCCCCAAATGTGGGCTCAACAGCCCAGATCCAGCCCTGTACAGACTAAGCCCCTGAGTGGGCGGAGCCCTCGAGGTCGCTTGTTTGGTGGCTGGCAGCTTGGCCATCTGATCTTTCTGGTTGTAATTACAGCTGAACTCTGTTCCTTGAAATTAATGTTGCACAATATGCCTTCTCCATCTGGTAGGACCCTGGGGAACTTCTGTTCTGAGATGGACTGCTGGCTGGGTAATGATTGAGAGCACAGCTTTTTTCAGCCCCACCCGAGTGCTGCGTTCTCTGTAACTACTGTGGACAGAGGAGAACTTATCCTTGGTCTTTTTAAAAGCATGTTTAAAAGCATTTTTTATTATACACTGAAAACCCCCTTGTGTGGCTTAGCATTGCATTTATTCATATGACTGTATTAATGAAATAGCGAGGAAAAAGGCTTACCTCATAATCAGTATTGTTAAATAAACATGTTCTTGGTTCTGAAAAATAAATGTAATATACTTCTTTAATATTCATGAAGGAGAATTTGCAGATGGGATCATACTTACCCACAAATTATGCGTTCCTTAAAATAATATTGCCTTTTAACCCGTTGATGCTGTTACTATCCCTTAATGCTAGGTTTTTCTTCATTACAATAATGATAAGTTTTAAGAAGTACTAATTCTGTTATATTTACCAGATCCTAATGTCCATGTGTGACATATTTGCTCAAAAACATCCCTTGAATGTCTCATCAGGCAAACAATGTACAGATTCAGTTCATATAACATATCACAGATGCATACCACAGTGGCCAATTTCACAGCAGGAATCATTCGATTTGAACGTTATCAGCTTCTCTCCAGTTTTGCAGGTGGGCGGAGAAGGACACTCTTTAGGTTTGCAGTCGACAGCCTGTGCTTCAGTACAGGTACACTGGTGGCAGTTAGACGTCCATGTGTCCCCCGGCTACAGAGACAAACCATGTGGAGACATTTTTTTCACAAAGAGGCAGGAAGGAAATTTAGGTTAAAGTAGAACATAACTTTATACTTACAGATTTCTCTTCTCCCAGTGGACCATGACACACTGTTAATATAAAGTAACAAATGTTAATTAGAGGTTGAAATTACAACCACTTGCTATTTATAGATAACCATCGGGGGGCCCATATGGTATTTGATACCAGGATTTCAAAGCTCAATTTTTGGAGACATTGTACCTGAAAATGGATAAATGACACCTGCCTATGAAGATGAATGCCTACTTCCAGCAAAGTGTTTTGTATAAGGTTATGTACATGGTGCTTTTTGCTTTATTTTGTGTGTGTATGCATGTGTACGCTATCCAGTTTACTGTCTGAAAAATCTGCTTTCTATCTCTACAATTCAATAAATACCGAGACATCATTGGCAAATACAAAGATACAAATTCGCTTAATCAATCATTTAAATTCCATGTCATAAGCAATATTAACTTTCACATTCAAAACGTTGGCCTTTCTTTAAAATTCAGGAAACCCTGTCTGTACTAGAAGCTCTTCTTTATGCCTCTCATTTTGTCTCTAGTCTTTTCAATGAAACTTTTCTCCATGATGTACAACACTAAGTGGAAGGCTCTCCAACTTGTAACTCATTTGAGCCCATGGACACTTTTTATATGAATATGCAGTACCCCAACAGATCTTCAACAATCTCCAACATAAATGCACAAAACAGACCGTGTCTTCTTGCCCCAAGCACAGTTTGATTATCAAAGCATCCAGACTCAGGTCATTGCAGTTTGTCATTCATACTGCCAACAAATCCCTTCCTCTCATCCTTACTTCCAACCTTTCCTTTCTTTGTTCTTGCCTAATCCACCTCATCATCATCAACCCATCAACTCAACTGCACAGATTCCCTTCTGGTCCAATCAGTTCTCTGCACCACAGCTACAGCAGTTTTCTGAATGCCTAATTGTCTGATTGCTTTTATTTCAAATGGTAGTCTTTTAAAATGAATATTTTACTCTAGTTTCCAAGGTCTTTAATCAACTCTGCCCTCTCATTTATTAAACCTAGAATAGCCTACGGATTGCTTTCAAATTTCAGTTCTAAAGCCCGCATTCTCCACAGTACGTCTATTTACTTCTTATGGTGAACTTTATTGTCTGCCTTATATGAAAACTGTGTTTTTTAAAAATTTCCATTTCCTCACTAGATGAGGTCAAAATTATTTTCTTTATTAAATGCTCTCTGCAAAATACATCACATTATCTCAAAAGTAGTGGGAACTCAATAAAGTTCTCAGAAATTATTAAACAGAGACACACTTGTAATTTTCAACTAGAACAAAAGTTGTATTACATTGTTCGTTAAACGTTCACTGTTATGAGAGCAGTTATATTTTCTACCTCTTATCAAAATGCATAATTTCATGAAAGAGCTCACAGGCAAATCATCATGCATTGCTTGGCCACACTTGTTTATGATTGAGAAAATAACATACATCATTTGACAAATAAAAGCCGGATTTGTGTACTCAGTTTGTTTGATAACCTTTCATTACCACTTATGTGCTGGACCCCTGGTGTACAAGAAGAGCTGTCAGCAAAGAATTTCCCCGCAGTGGGGGTCACTCACCTGGGGCTGCTGGAAGCAAGCCTGAACACGCTGTGTATGAAACAGAAAACCTGTTAGTCTCTGGAACTTCTGGAATGGAGTCATAGTTTTGGGGACAATACATTTATGTGATTCATTACTACATTGTTGAAATAATTGACCATACAGGCAGGATTACAGATATACAACCTGTTTTGCTTCTGTGCCGTTTAGAGTATCTGACAGCCTGCTATTGTTTGGGTGTTTCTTTTAGACCTCAAAGTTTAATGGAAGAGAAATCTGCATTGAGAGTAAAAACTAGACTTCTATTGAAAATTTTCTTGGAAAACAATTCATATGAAAAGGTCAGTGAATAAAGAGTAAGGGATGATTTTACTACATGGGAATATAATTATAAGAAGATAGTTTTGATCTTAAGAAAATTTATCCGTTTTTCACCTCTTGAAAGGCTTGAATTTTGTTCTATCCCTCCGAAATGCTTTAAGCAAATGATATGCGTGTATGTCTTTAAGTTTCTGAACTTCACAGGTATGGGCCAGTCATACTTACAAAATTCTAAATTCAAATTTCAAATTTTAAGTCAAAAATTTTGTACTGTTATCCCACCCTACCAAAAGAAAAGAAACACAAACTGGCCTAGGATGGGCGTTCTTAAAGGAAACTTTCAATTTCTACATATTTATTCAAAGCAACTCTTAACAACTGTTACCAAAAATTGATACTAAAGTAGTAAGGTAAGTGAAAATTTAGAAGATTAAACGCCTCTAACCGTTTGTTAAGGCAATCTGGAATAGTACCTTATTTTTAATAATAGTAGAACCCAGCACTAGAAGAGAAAAACAATGGGTATATACAACAGAATAATCTAATTTCCACACCGCTGTTGGAGTCACTTCCTCCAGAGCACTGAGCGTGCCATTCTCTTGATAAAAACTAAAGGGAGTCTCATTGCTGTAAAGATGGAGTCACGTTTAAATTAGAAATTCAACTTTTTCATAAACTTTATGTATATTTATATTTCCTAATCTTCTTCCTTGACCCTCACACTTCTGTTGCAAGCACCTGTCTGAGTCCTGAATTCACCTATGCATCATCGTGTCTCTGTTCTCACGTTTGGTAGAAATTTGCTGCCCACCTAGCCAGTATAACACGCAACTATCTTTTTTTATTTGTGCCTTCAGCCATGACTATCAACTAGAATACAGAAAGGAACCATCTGCTCTCTTCCTCGTCCATGGAATCATAATTTTTTCATCTATTTTTGGTTGGTAAAAAGATGAACAATAACAATAATACCTGTGCCTATATCCCATATCCTTACTACAAAGGTTACAATGTGGCAATCACTGTTTCTTACTGAAGGTTTTGCTTTTGATGCATATACAATACAGAGCCTAGCACACGTTTAAGTACAAGAAATGCCTTTGGACCGTGAAACGATTGGTGGTCTCCTCATACTGACCTGTTGTCTTTTCAGTGTCTTGACTCTCTGTTGCTGTTGTAGTTATTTCTAGAGAAAAGAGGATGATAACAAAATGTTTTATTCACAGTAGTAAAAATCCATGTAGTCTGTGTGTGTTCATCTCAGGAATGGCACAATCATGTGCAAGGTTGACCCCATGCAAATGAGATAAATTGCATAGGACTTGTTTGAGCCCACTGGATCTCTACATTTTACCTGGCTGGGATATGTGGGCACTGGTTGTGACTTCAGCTGCTACTGAAGTGGAATCTGCAAAAGTAAGTAAGTCTAGATTATTCCGGGACCAGCACCACCCATAAGCTTCTCTCTGGAATCTCAGACTGAGTTAGGCATGGTGGTGCAGCCTGGAATCCTAGAGGTTGGAAGTCTGAGATAGGATTGTAAGACAGACCAGCATATGGACCTAATTTAAAACAACATAAAGCTTTCAGGCTGCAGGGTACATCTTCCAAAGAGTCAAGTGGAAACTTTTTTTTTTCCAAATGGCTTCCAAGCTGAATCATGAAAAGGAAGTTTCCCTGTTCTCCCTAGCCCCCATTATGTCCTCCTTCCTTGCCCAAAACCCTCAACTCATCTCCATAGGAACAAAGCCACATGGACCTCTGAAGGGTGGTACAGCTAACATTCATTTTGGCATTCCAGTTCCAGTCTGAGAAAACATAGCAGTGTTCCCCCCCCGCCCCCCCCCCGCCTAAGAACAGGATGGATTTGAACAAAGTTGAACAAAGTCATGTTTCTTATCATCAATGAAGGAGCCTTTGTACCCAAAGAGCAAACCCATTTTTTACAAACTCTCTTGCTTTTGCTAGGGTTAATGTCTCAGGAGGAAGCGATTTTTCTGCACTCACCTGTGTTTCCTCTTGTGCTTTGGCTGCCTGGTACTTCCTTGGGGACTCCTGCAGGGGTAAATTTAGGGCGTAGACATGAGAAAAAAATCCATGATAATGGCTGAATTAAACATCTGCTCCCCAGAAACTGGAATTCTCTAGGTCTCTAAAAATCCCAGCCAAACCTGAAGTAACACCTAAACAGCAAGATGGTTAGGACAATGAGAACGACAAAATCCTGTCTAAGAGAGTACTGTGTGGGGTGAATGGCCGAATAGAAGAGGACCATGTTTGGTTTACTTGACAGTTTATGGAATAAATTGCAAACACCACAGCAAAAAAGATCATATACATTTTGTCAGAAGAAGCACACAACCCTGTATCTGTCCCTTGTGCTCTCATCTGCCATCTACTACAGACCCCAGAGAGTCACCAACCTCCCTCAAGGCTGAAAATGCCCGTCACTCACTAGTTCCTGTTCTAACTCCAGTGTACGCTATAACTTCTGCAGTTGTAGCCCCGAATAGAGGTGGAACGAAGCTAGGGATGGGAACACTGTGAAAATGTGCAGCCCATTGACTTTACACATTGTCCCTAGAAGAGGCAGCAGCCTCTGCTGTTCAGAGACAAATTTCCCGAAGCGTTTTCACGACTCATGAGTGAGGAAACTCTCAGGGGCTACAGTTGTACCAGTAGTCACCCCTGTGGCAACTGCAATCACAGAAGGAGGGAGTAATTTATGAATCCCCCAGACCAAAATTAGAATTTGGGTTTAGAATGCTTCTGCTGACATATTATTCATGATCACTGTTATACCATTTTCTCAAAACATAGAAAGGCAGTTCATAGGAGAAATGTGTGATCAAGGCACCTTGCACTCAAAGAAGAGCTGAGGAAAATCCCCCCAAATTCCTTATATAAGACAATTTAAAAAAGGGGGGGAAGATAATTAGCGGTTGCAGCCGATCTAGCTGAACTCCAGCATCTGAGGTCCTGCCACTTGAAGAAGTAGTTGCCTCTAATCACAGCAAAGAAGTTCAGAACCACACGACTGGTAAAGTTTGCTATGTGTTTGCAGGGTTCCATTACTAAACCCTTTCCATTACTGTTAAGTCATTGGCTTCCCTGTGCCGGGGCCGCCAGATACAGAGTAAATTCATGCCAGAGACCTGTGGTGTCTGACATAAAAAGGGGAAAAGGGAGTAATGACCAAAGTCAAGATTCATTATCATCCTAAGACAGGTTTTCAACTGAACTTTCTAATGCTGTAGCCCTTTAATACAGTTCCTCGTGTGGTGACCCCAAACCACAAAATTCTTTCATTGCGACTTCATAACTGTAAACTTGTTACTATTGTGAATCATAATGTAAATATCTGATATGCATCTCCTGTAAAAGGGTCTTCCAACCTCTCAAGGGGGTCACAACATACAAGTTGAGAATTTCCGCCCTAAAAGAATGGCCAAAGATGTCACATTGTCTGGTTTCTGCTCAAGGAAGAATCTATTAATATTAAGGAAAATTGTTTTATTTTATGTTTTGGCCTTCTGTTTAACCTGAACTCGAACTCTCCAAGCCTGTATTTCCTCCAGCTGATGTAGTGATTCCTGAAATGACAAATGGAAAACTGAACCTGTACAGATATTTGCCACTTCCGCTCTAGTTCACAGAGAACCACCTATGGGAGGACTCACAAAATCTGCCTCGGTTGAATCCAAAACCTAGTCACAAAAGAAGACATTGTTGACCTCAATGAGAACTCCGGGAAGACCACTTTTCCTGTTACCAAGAAACAAGCTGGAATTGTAATTTATCATCACTCAAAAGCCACACCCTCAGATTACTCCTGCCTGCATTGTTTCCTGTGGCCATGGTTCCACTGACTCTGCGGAGGTTGTGGCTTCTGAGAGAAGAGGAGAGAAACAGATGAAAGACAGGGACATAGGAAGGAATTCGTGGCACGGACACACAAGCCTTGCGCCTTCTTTCTGAATGGTTCTCTCACCTGTGCTGGAACTCCCAGATGTCTCAGTCACTCTGACAGGTGCACGGGTGGTACCTGGAACGAGAAGGAGCAAAGACAAGATGAAGAATGAAGAATGCTTCGCACTGATGCAGCCAAGGCACACAGCACATGCTGTCATTCGGGATTGGGCGTTGGACCATTCTGGGAGGTGCCGTTTAGAAACTGCTGCATCTCTGTAGCAGTCAAGTCCTTCGAACGTGTGCTGTGAGCAGCCGTTCTGTTCCTGGCTGAAACAGTTTTCCCACATACCAACCATTTAATTTATTCAACAATGTATATCACTCCCTGTTTATTTGCAGGGATTATATACCAAAATAAATGAAGCCATTTGCTGAGAAGTCCATCTTATAATAACTTACTTAGCAAACATAACAAAATCTTCATCCTGATTGTAGACTGTGATATTGGGTATAAACTCTAAAGAAAAAAAACCCTTAATTTTCTTTATTCAGTAATAAATTTATCTCTCTGGCTTTGTGGTTTTTAAGACAATAGAGATGTTTCTATATAACATATTGCTCTTTTGGTAACTTTACAAAAGACATTTGTTATCATAGCTTTTTTTTGCCTGGGTTTAGTCACAGAGAAGTAGATTTTGGCTGGATCACCAATATAACTTTCAGGGTTATGTATCCCATTATGCCTCATTGATAGACCATTGAAGCACAAAAAAGAAATGCCAGTGTGTTCGAATGGTACTCACTGGCATCAAATATTGAACATCTGATACAACTTTTTCATAATATTTTGACAAATATCAGAAATGGAAAGGGTTTTTGTGAGGGGTTTCAAGAAGTTTATAGAAGGTGTACCTAATGGCTGAGATTACTTCCACCTTTAGTGTACTGCTATCTTCCAAAGTCGTTGTGGTTTCCGAGATGGGTGAAATCAAAGTAGGTGACTGGAGAAGCTAGCTAAGGTTCTCTTGTGCAGGGGGCAATGGAGGACAAATCACCCCATAGATGGAGCCATTGAAGATTCCACGGCAGTTTATTGCCTTACCTCTGGAAACTTTCAGGTCAACTCCAACACTGGCTAATAAACGAAGGACCTCAAATCCTCACACTAACTCACATTAGTCTCCTAAAGATGTGTCTGGAGAAGAACCCGAGTGCATGTTTCTCAGATGTCCCCTCCCAGTTTCCTCATGAGTTGAAATGATCTATGACCCACATTGACAAAGTGACCCAAAAAGGAATGCTCCCATCTGAAGCCCTTCCCTGAAATTCTACCTATGATGAAATGGGGAACAGGCTTCTTTTCTTTCTTTCTCCTAGGACACAATTCCAGTTTCTTGTCCTCTTGATGCTGCACAGGTGCCTATCATGTGATTCAAAAACCCCAGAAAAATTATTTGATTGTGCCAAGAATTCAAGCCAAGATTTAATATCATTTTTGCTGTTATGTCAAAAAAAAAAACCCTGCATATAAGCCAGGTCTAACGGCATATGTCCATAATCTTCCAGCAGTCTGTAGGCACAAACTGAGGCAGATGACTCTCTCTGAGTTCTAGTACAGTCTGGTCTACATAGTTCTAGGCTAGCCAGGACTACACAGTGAGATTCTCTCTCAAAACAAACAAACAAAACAAAACAAATAATGTTGCCCCCAAATTTTATAGGATAGGATGCCTTCCAGATGTCAGAGTGTTTCTTCTCCTTCCTCTTAACACTTTAGTGGTGTATGCAGTGTCGAAAGCTTTTCTCAAACTGACTATACAGACAACAGTCCTCAGGAAGGCATTGCTATACGACTAGTTGCTGATAATGAAAGGGTTTTTCCAGAATATGCTCAGTTGAAAGAAAATATCCAAAGTACTACACGGTACTCTGAAGGAAATCAAACCTCCTCCCAGGCAAGCCCAGCAGCCACACGGAAAGCCCACACCCAGCTTTGGGAGCTTCGGGGCCTCACCTGTTGTCCCTCTGCTCCCATGGGTCTCACTATTTTCTGCTGAAGTTGTAGCTTCTGAAAAAGTAAAACCAAGAATGCGAGGTTCAAGGATTTGGTGGAGAAAGTGGGGAATTGTGTTGATATCATCAGAGTAGACAGTCTAAATAGATGAAGAGCTTCAATAACTATTACCTCTTTCTTTTGAATATATTCGTGTGGAAAGTTATAGGTATAATGATTGCTTCCCTGGGTGATTGACAGAGCATATGTTTCTCATCAATATTGGAAAAGTGGAAAAGCTATATGAATCTGATTCATCGCAGGTACTTTAGCCAAACCACTACCTCTGAAGGAATGAAACATCTCACTTTTTTTTTCCTTCCCATGAGTCACTGAGGTTTTTTTCCCCCATAGGTTCCACAGAAAGTGAGGGAGAAATGATCTCCCTCACCTGATAAAACAGGGATGCCTGCTATAACACAGGTGCCTAAAGAAGAAATGATCTTTCTGAATTATATGTATCAATTACTTAAAGTGTCTTGATTTCAGTTGTTTAAAACATAATTCCTTGATCATGAAACTCTCAAATGATATTTAATTCATCTTGAGCAACTTCAGACTCCATGTGCTGCAGCTTCTCCAGGTGAAACCACCTTGGTACCTCTTACATAGGGAGAAGGCTGAGAAATGATACATTACTTCCCCTGTTAACATTCTGAGCATCTTCCTTGTGTGATTTTGTTGTTCCTCCTTGAGCTGTACTAGTGAACAGAACACTTGAGATCTCTCCCCTGGAACAGCCACCATTCCAGCTTCTGGTAACCAGACGGGAATGAAAAACACATGAACACTAGGATGGTCACTGTTAGCATACACTTTGAGAAAAACAAGTAAGCTGTATGTAATAATTATGGTCCTGATATGAAGACACTAGCCAATACTGTGGTGCTCTCAACTATGTAAGTCTCCATCCTTACAAATCCACGGTGGCCATAGAATTCCTAGGCAAGCCTGCAGGTTGTATCCACAGGAAGAATGTCATGTCTTTCCTCAGCCTACCTCCTCACTCAGGTTTATTGCACCCATCCAAAGAAGGACTTGATTAAACAAAAACAAGCAAACAACACCCCCCCACACACACACACAGAATAATGGCTCACCTGTGCGAACTTCTCCATGGGTAGTTTCAGTTGTAGCCTCTGAGAGAGAAAACAAAGAAAGGAATAAAGACTGTGGTCTAGGAAAGTATATGATGTACTGATATAAAACATTACGTCCATATCTGAGGTATATTAGATCTCACTGGTTCTTGAGCTTTCCCAGAGACTGTAACAGAGCTCTCTAAAACAAGAACACAATTGTGCTCGTGAGTTAAATTATGTGCCTAGTAGTTAGTTTAAATAGGAACCAGAGCTCTACAAAGCCACCACTGAGACCTCTTATGGAAGAAACTGTCCCATGCAATGATTCTATATCAAGTCTACTGAGACAGTTCTCAACCATAATGCCATTTACTTTGAATGTGGGTAGGAAATTTCTTCCCATGTCATTTATTGGTCATTAGTTTTGATTTATGATCATCTAACACAATGGTTTTCAACCTTCATGTTATGGTGACCTCCAACCATTATATTATTTTCATTGTTACTTCGTAACTCGTATTTTGCTACTGTTATGAATAATAATGTAAATAATTTTCAAGACGGAGGCTGTCAAAGGAGTCACAACCTACTGAAGTCCACAGCTACTGCAAGCTTGTGGAGATACAGGAGGCAATACAACTTTTGTTTTTTAATCTATTATTTTCTTATCAATAAAGCTTATTAGATGGGTATTTTTAGAAGATTTGAAGGAGTTACTAGGAGGGAAGGTACAAGCCCCTCAGTGCTCAGCTGTGGCTCCTTCACTTTTTACTGTTCCATTTACTTGTAGGGAAGTTGTGACCTCTGAGAGAAAGGAAGAAGAAATAGATTAATGGCAAAGATGTAATGATGACAGAAACCCTGTGATCCTCCATCAATGAATCAAAGAAAGCATGCAGTGGTAAGAGGGCACATGGAACACTCACATTACAACATGGACTCACCTGTGTTGGAACTGCCTGGGGCAACAGTTGTGGCAGGGATGGACCCAGTGGTCACTGAAACACAGAAGGCATGGGAATCACAAGATTGTTGGTCTCTGACAAACTTACTCTTTGGAAATCTACAGATTCTTTTTGTTGTTGTTTTGTTTTTTTGTTTTGCTTTGTTTTTCTTTCTGAGACAGGGTTTCTCCGTAGCTTTTTGGTTCCTGTCCTGAAACTAGCTCTTCTAGACCAGGCTGGCCTCGAACTCACAGAGATCTGCCTGCCTCTGCCTTTCAAGTGCTGGGATTAAAGGCATGTGCCACCACCACCCGGTTTACAGATTCTTATTTAGACCTGTTTCTCTGGCACCTGCTATGGTAAATACTCCACGGATTATCCCATTTCAAAAGCAATCAGAGGGATCAGTTTAACCAGCAGAGGCAACATTCCTAACAGTCTATGGGAGAGGCAGGTGACTTTCTCCTGCATACATTTATTTACTTCCCAAAAATAGAAGACAATGTCTTAGTAGGTTCGATAAAAATTTTAAATATCAAGAAAATACTAATTATTAATATTGCTTTGGGGATTAAGAAACCTGTGTATTGGGATGTTGCTAAGGCTAATTTATGTTATCTCTACTAGTCAAGCTAGAGATATTATGAATATCTTAATGTGGTTTTTATGTTCAAGAGAAATCTTGCAGAACAATTGAACCATCCATCCTGTTTCAATAGAGTCTATTGGCAGATTATTTTAAAAATTGAATTGTAGGGGCTATGAGACCAATTCCAGCCCCTTCCCAGGATTTTAAAGGTGAAATACTTGTCAGGAATAAAGGGGTTGTAAAGGCTTTCTATTATAACTTTACACAGACAGGCTAATACTCTTCATTTCAAGTGCTCTTGCAACACAAAGGTCCAAGGCCATAGAAGCAAAACCTCAACCCATCCAGGGGGGAGGGGTGTCCAATGACAACTTGAGATACAGAACCATTGTTAGTAGGCTGGTAAGTGAAGAATTGGTGTGCTTTTTCTTAGTAACCTTGGTTGGACATCTTTGACTATGTCCTTATGTAAACTGTAAAGTTTTCTTTTTACAAAATGTCTTCAGTTAAACTTGTTCTGAGGTGAATATGGATTGTGTGTAGTTAGCAAGCAGGCTTTTAAGTGTCTGTAGTCCTCGTGGGACAGTAGATCCAGTTATGAAATATGTCTATATATCAGAACTATATAGCATTTTTCCAAATGCTGCCTCTTAAATGCTGGGATTAAAAGTGTACACCACTATGCCCAGACTAGTCTCTTCATTAGAGCCTATGTTCTGTGTGACACTCTGCAAACGAAGAAACTGTATTACTGCTGTTGTTCTTCTTTGATGTATGCTTATGTGTTTTACGTGCATGCACATATGTGTACTTTGTGTGTGCCTGTTGCCTGTAGATATAAGAAGCAGGTGTCAGATCCCCTGGGACTTGAGTTGTAGTCAGTTGTGAACTACCATGTATGTGCTGGAAATTGAACCCGGCTTTACTGCAAGAGCAGCAAATGATCTTAACGGAGTCATCTCTCCAGCCCCTATCATCATTGTTGTTGTTGTTGGTGGTGGTGGTGGTGGTGTTGGGGTGTGTGTGTGTGTGTGTGTGTGTGTGTGTGTGTGTGCTAGACTGAGGCAGGTCTCATGGCTCACACATGGAGGACAATACGCAACTTTGTTAGTTCTATCCTTCAACCTTTACATGGGTTCTGGCACCAAATTCTGTCTACAAGATTACAGGCAAGTACCTTTGCTGCCTGAGCTATCTTGCTAGTCCAGTACTATGAATCTAGGTACCTTTCTGTCTTAGGCATTTAATGTACAATAACCTTGAAAAATTAGTAGCACTGAAAAAATAAATTACCATATAGGCACTCGTGAACTTGATGTCAAGTTGGAATGATCTCAAAAGAATGTTACAAAATTCTTAATAAAGCAATAGTATTATAATTTTCTCCACTAAAACTCTCTAAAGCTTGTTTCAGAATAATAGATGGAGCGAGGAGTCAGTATGGTGAAATTTTAAGGCCCTTTCATTACTTGTGTCTTGTCAGTGTATGTGAGAAATGAAGACAAACTACTCCTTCAAAAGCAAGTTTTTCTGCTGAGTTATTAAAGGACGTGGTGCATTTTTCTTTAAAGAAGATGATATTGCACTGAAAAGCAGAGGCTTTGGAGTCGATAGGGAGAGGGAAACTCAGCAGTTTCACCACTCGACTTGCTGCAAAACTGACACCAAGTTAGATAATGTCTTTGTCTACGTTTTCACAAGCAATGTGAGAAAATAATAAATATTCTCACATTTAAATCAGAAGATATCCTTAAATAAATAACTTACATTCTTAATGTAATTATCATGTAAATGTCAAAAATCCAACAGACAACCCTGTTCAGAGTGGTCCTCATGATACAAATATTGGGCATATGAGACATATGAGACCTGACGTAAAACAGAAAACCAGAAGCAATGGCCTGGTTCTTAGGAAACAGTGATCTGAATGGGCGTCACGCCTGAACTCAGACCTTGTGTGATGGCCCTGCTTCTACCTAGCACTCCTATGTATCCCAACGGGCACTATTGAGCTAGTCAAAATCAAGACAAAGTCAGTGACTTCTAATGACACAGTCAATTGCCATGTGGGCTTCCTGATCTTTTGCTTCACTTACTTGGGCGTGAACCTGTGATTTTCTTTAGTCATAAGGGGAGATATCTGCTTAACATGCTCACCTTTTAACACCTCACAAACTGCTGTGATATTATTGTAGTCTTCATTTCCTTAATACCTAGTAACTTTCCCCAAAATGTTCAGATCTTTTCCCACAGAGTTCTCATAGCACATGGCACACAGACAAACAATAAAATTAATCAAATATAACAAAATTAGAGAAACTTCTGATACAGAACAGTCCTATATAGGTGTAGTATGGGAGCATCTATACTGACTTAGCTTTTTATGTTATTGTTTTTGGTTTTTTGTTTGTCTGTTTTTCTTTGTTTTTAGTTAAAGTTCTAATTTCTGAGGCCTCGCTGGTATTTTTCTTTAAATATACTATCCTTTCTGCCCAGTTTATAACCTTTACCACAGGAGGAAGACCGGTGCTGGAAGTTAGGAACCCAATCGCCTCCTGGTCTCCTGAGTGCAATGCCTCACCTACACCTGCTAACTGAAATTCTCCCTGACATTGTTGTTTGAAAATGGTAAAAAGTGCATGTCTTGGAAACATGGGCTGCTGTGGAATTTTTTTTTTTTTTTTGATTTTTCGAGACAGGGTTTCTCCGTATCTTTTTTGGTTCCTGTCCTGGAACTAGCTCTTGTAGACCAGGCTGGCCTCGAACTCACAGAGATCCGCCTGCCTCCATGTCCTGAGTGCTGGGATTAAAGGCGTGTGCCACCACCGCCTAGCTGCTGTGGAAATTAATACATGCTACATAACCCAGATTAGGGTCCTGTCCCACAGAATACAGCTATGATTCCACCGATTTGTTATAAAATATTTTTCTCGATTAAGTTCTGAGGAGGCAGTTGCCTGTTCTTCCATGAAAGCTCTATATCACCTAACGGGATATGAAATACAAAATACTAGACAATTTTGATCTGATCTTTAATCACATAAATCATCCTAGTGACCATTATTCATTAGACTTATCAGTCAGCATCATGCTAAGTGGCACTCTGAGTCATACCCTCCCCCTGCCTTGCCTGACTTCTCAGGTGTGGTGAATTTGGCCATGCCTTCAACCGTAAGAGTGGTGCATCTATGGTTCTTTTTCTATTTCTGATTTTTAAAAAAAACCAATATTGTATGTGGTGCTAGTAAAAAGGGTGAACATTCTGTTATGTATCTCAAATCTATATATTGATAAAATGGATCATCTCTAGCAATTTCTACTAAAACTCAGGCCCTTGGTTATATTATTTAACTTTATCATAAGTTGGGTTTTATATTTGCTGGTACACAATCACCAGCAGAACCCACAGGTGAGCCTTGACTTCTTTGTTATCAGAAAGAATGATCAGAGCCTGGGCTTCCCTTGTACCTGCTTCCATCATACAAGAAAGATAACAAATTTACCATGAAGTCTGAAATTCATATTAGAATAAAGGTGCTTTGGTAAACATGAGTATTCACTAATTTCAGGACTTAATATCTTATTTACTTACTATAACATTTAACAATATCCTAGTCTGAACCAGAGCAACCATTGCCTTGGCACAAGGAACCCTCTAGATTCAGCTAATCATACTTGCCTCCCTTTGTTGTAGATTCAACTCCTGGGACTCTACTAGTATTTCTTCTTTCTGTGGTTCCTTCATCAGCTGGTACAGTTCTTCCAGAAACTTCAGTGGGTAAACTTGATGTCCATGTGTTTCCAGGTGAGGGCTCAAATGTTACAGTTAATCTAGGTGATGGCTCTAATGGCGAAGTCAAATCACCAAATGTACCTATAGGTTGTGATGAAGGTCTAGGCATAATAGTAGTTGCAGGTGTTTGGCCGGATGAAATAGACATGACAGGTACTGCTCCAGTTGAAGATGATTGTCCTTCAGATGACCCAGTTGTCTCTGTAACTGCATTTGACGAACTGGTTGTCTCTGAGCCAGTGACTGTTACCCTAGTAGATAATAGTACTTGAGCAGAAGATATAGCTGTTGTTGATTCTCCAACGGAAGATACATTTCTCACGGTGATTCCAGTTAATGAGCCCATTTTACTTGTATCTGTAACTGATAATTTAGTTGTGTTTGGTGCTTCAGATGATGGCTCAGTTGATGCTGATGGTCCCAGGGATTGTGTGGTTCTTTCTGTAACTCCAGTGGACACACCAGTTGTTCTTCGTCCAGTAGCAGTTTCTCTACTTGTTTGTAGTCCTTGAGATGAGGAAGGTCCAGTTGTTGTAGTAGGGCCAGAAGATCTTACAGTTTGATCAGAAAGTACAGTAGATCCTGGTGAGCTCCCAAATGACTGTGTGGATGTCTCCCCCACTTCAGCTGATTGGACAGAGGTTACAGTCACCCTGGTTGTCTTACCAGATGTCACAGCTACTTCACCATTTGTATCTGTACTTCCTGACACAGAAACGGAGGGACTAGTTGCTGATGTGGTACCAGGTGTGTGTCCAGATGTCACTGCCACTAGAGGTGTTGTGGTAGATGTTGTTGCTTTTCCAACTGATGTTAGATTTGTTACGGTTTTTACAGTTGATTGGCCAGGTGACTGTGTGCCTGTTATGGATATTTTAGTGGTTTCTGGTGCTTTAGATGATGGTCTAGTAATTGTATGTTGTCCAAGGGATGATGCAGTTCTCTCTGTAATTCCAGTCGACACAGGAGTTGTTCCTGTGACAGTTTCTCTACTTGTTTGTAGTTCTTGAGATGGTGAAGGTCCAGTTGTTGTGGTAGGGCCAGAAGATATTACAGTTTGATCTAAAGCTACAGTAGAAGCCAGGGTGCTCTCTGCTGACATAGTAGTAGTCTTCCTTACTTCAGGTGATTGGGTAGATGTAACAGTCACCCTAGTTGTCTTGCCTGATGTCACAGACATTTCACCAATTGTCACTGTATGTCCTGACACTGAAACTGATGGACTATTTGCTGATACTGATGGACTATTTGCTGATGTGGTACCAGGTGTTTTCCCAGACGTTACTGCTACATGCGTTTTTGCTGTAGTTATTGTTGCTTCTCCAACTGATGTTGGATTTCTTGTGGTTTTTACAGTTAGTGTGACAGTTGACTGTGTGCCTGTTATGGATACTTTAGTTGTTTCTGGTGCTCTGGATGCTGCTCCAGTAGTTGGTGAGGATTCAATGGCTTGTGCAGTTTTGTCTGTAATGCCAGTTGACCAAAGAGTTGCTCCTGTTCCTGTGACAGTTTCTCTACTTGTTTGTAGTCCTTGAGAGGATGAAGGCCCAGTTGTTGTAGTAGGGCCAGAAGACTCTACAGTTTGGTCTACAGATACAGTAGAAGCCAGTGTGCTCTCTGCTGACTTTGTGGATGTCACCTTCACTTCAGGTGACTGGGTAGATGTGACAGTCACCCTAGTTGTCTGGCCAGATGTTACAGCCACTTCACCATTTGTTACTGTCCTTCCTGACGGCGAAACTGATGGACTATTTGCTGATGTGGTACCAGGTGTTTGTCCAGATGTCACAGCCTCTCCATGTCTTGCTGTAGTTATGGTTGTTTCTCCAATCGATGTTGCTTTAGTCACTAATCCTTCAGTTGATGGGCCAGTGGACAGTGTGTCAGTGTAGGATACTTTAGTTGTTTCTGGTGCTTTAGATGATGGTCCAGTAGTTGGTGAGGATTCAATGGCTTGTGCAGTTTGCTCTGTAATGCGAGTGGACATACCAGTTGTTCCTGTTCCTGTGACAGTTTCTCTACTTGTTTGGAGCCCCTGAGATGATGAAGGTCCAGTTGTTGTTGTAGGGCCGGAGGATATTACAGTTTGATCTAAAGCTACAGCAGAAACCAGTGTGCTCTCTGCTGATTTTGTGGATGTCTCCCTCACTTCAGGTGATTGGACAGATGTTACAGTCACCCTAGTTGTCTTGCCTGATGTCACAGACACTTCACTATTTGACATTGTACGTCCTGACACTGAAACTGATGGGCTATTTGCTGATGTGGTAACAGGTGTTTTCCCAGACGTTACTGCTACGTGAGGTTTTGCAGTAGTTATTGTTGCTTCTCCAACTGATGTTAGATTTGTTACAGTTTTTACAGTTAGTGTGCCAGTTGACTGTGTGCCTGTTATGGATACTTTAGTTGTTTCTGGTGCTCTAGACGATGGTCCAGTAGTTGGTGAGGATTTAATGGATTGAGCAGTTTTGTCTGTAATGCTAGTTGACAAACCAGTCGTATCTGTTCCTGTGACAGTTTCTGTATGTGTTTGTAGTCCTTGAGATGATGAAGGCCCAGTTGTTGCAGAAGGTCCAGAAGACACTACAGTTTGGTCTACAGCTACAGTAGATCCCAGTGTTTTCTCTGCTGACTTTGTGGATGTCTTCCTCACTTCAGGTGATTGGGTAGATGTCACCCTAGTTGTCTGGCCAGATGTAACAGTCACTTCACCATTTGTCACTGTACTTCCTGACACTGAAACTGATGGACTAGTTGCTGATGTGGTACCAGGTGTTTGTCCAGATGTCCCAGCATCTCCAAGTCTCGCTGTAGTTATGGTTGTTTCTCCGACCGATGTTGCTTTAGTCACTAATCCTTCAGTTGATGGACCAGTGGACTGTGTGCCTGTTATGGATACTTTAGTTGTTTCTGGTGCTCTGGATGCTGCTCCAGTAGTTGGTGAGGATTCAATGGCTTGTGCAGTTTTGTCTGTAATGCCAGTTGACCAAAGAGTTGTTCCTGTGACAGTTTCCCTACTTGTTTGTACTCCTTGAGAGGATGAAGGCCCAGTTGTTGTAGTAGGGCCAGAAGACACTACAGTTTGGTCTACAGATACAGTAGAAGCCAGTGTGCTCTCTGCTGACTTTGTGGATGTCACCTTCACTTCAGGTGACTGGGTAGATGTGACAGTCACCCTAGTTGTCTGGCCAGATGTTACAGCCACTTCACCATTTGTTACTGTCCTTCCTGACGGCGAAACTGATGGACTATTTGCTGATGTGGTACCAGGTGTTTGTCCAGATGTCACAGCCTCTCCATGTCTTGCTGTAGTTATGGTTGTTTCTCCAATCGATGTTGCTTTAGTCACTAATCCTTCAGTTGATGGGCCAGTGGACAGTGTGTCAGTGTAGGATACTTTAGTTGTTTCTGGTGCTTTAGATGATGGTCCAGTAGTTGGTGAGGATTCAATGGCTTGTGCGGTATTGTCTGTAATGCGAGTGGACATACCAGTTGTTCCTGTTCCTGTGACAGTTTCTCTACTTGTTTGTAGTCCTTGAGATGATGAAGGTCCAGTTGTTGTTGTAGGGCCAGAGGATATTATAGTTTGATCTACAGCTACAGTAGATGCCAGTGTGCTCTCTGCTGACTTTGTGGATGTCTCCCTCACTTCAGGTGATTGGACAGATGTTACAGTCACCCTAGTTGTCTTGCCTGATGTCACAGGCACTTCACTATTTGACACTGTACTTCCTGACACTGAGACTGAGGGACTAGTTGCTGTTGTGCTCCTGTGTGTGGGTACAGATTTCAGTGCATCTCTAGGCTTTACTGTATTTATTGTTGTTTCTACAACTGATATTGGATTTGTCACGGTTCCTTCCGTTGATGTGCCAGTTGACTGTGGGCTAGTTAAGGATACTTTAGTTGTTTCTGGTACTTCAGATGATGGTCTAGTAGTTGTATGTTGTCCAAGGGATGATGCAGTTCTCTCTGTAATTCCAGTCGACACAGGAGTTGTTCCTGTTCCTGTGACAGTTTCTCTACTTGTTTGTACTCCTTGAGATGGTGAAGGTCCAGTTGTTGTAGTAGGGCCAGAAGACACTACAGTTTGGTCTACAGATTCAGTAGAAGCCAGTGTGCTCTCTGCTGACTTTGTGGATGTCACCCTCACTTCAGGTGACTGGGTAGATGTGACAGTCACCCTAGTTGTCTGGCCAGATGTTACAGCCACTTCACCATTTGTCACTGTACTTCCTGACGGCGAAACTGATGGACTATTTGCTGATGTGGTACCAGGTGTTTGTCCAGATGTCACAGCCTCTCCATGTCTTGCTGTAGTTATGGTTGTTTCTCCAATCGATGTTGCTTTAGTCACTAATCCTTCAGTTGATGGGCCAGTGGACAGTGTGTCAGTGTAGGATACTTTAGTTGTTTCTGGTGCTTTAGATGCTGCTCCAGTAGTTGGTGAGGATTCAATGGCTTGTGCAGTTTGCTCTGTAATGCGAGTGGACATACCAGTTGTTCCTGTTCCTGTGACAGTTTCTCTACTTGTTTGTAGTTCTTGAGATGGTGAAGGCCCAGTTGTTGTAGTAGGGCCAGAAGATATTACAGATTGATCTAAAGCTACAGTAGAAACCAGTGTGCTCTCTGCTGAATTTGTGGATGTCTCCCTCACTTCAGGTGATTGGACAGATGTTACAGTCACCCTAGTTGTCTTGCCTGATGTCACAGACACTTCACTATTTGACATTGTACGTCCTGACACTGAAACTGATGGACTATTTGCTGATGTGGTACCAGGCGTTTCCCCAGACGTTACTGCTACGTGAGTTTTTGCAGTAGTTATTGTTGCTTCTCCAACTGATGTTAGATTTGTTACAGTTTTTACAGTTAGTGTGCCAGTTGACTGTGTGCCTGTTATGGATACTTTAGTTGTTTCTGGTGCTCTAGACGATGGTCCAGTAGTTGGTGAGGATTTAATGGATTGAGCAGTTTTGTCTGTAATGCTAGTTGACAAACCAGTCGTATCTGTTCCTGTGACAGTTTCTGTATGTGTTTGTAGTCCTTGAGATGATGAAGGCCCAGTTGTTGCAGAAGGTCCAGAAGACACTACAGTTTGGTCTACAGCTACAGTAGATCCCAGTGTTCTCTCTGCTGACTTTGTGGATGTCTTCCTCATTTCAGGTGATTGGGTAGATGTGACAGTCACCCTACTTGTCTGGCCAGATGTAACAGCCACTTCACCATTTGTCACTGTACTTCCTGACAATGAAACTGATGGACTAGTTGCTGATGTGGTACCAGGTGTTTGTCCAGATGTCCCAGCGTCTCCAAGTCTTGCTGTAGTTATGGTTGTTTCTCCGACTGATGTTGCTTTAGTCACTAATCCTTCAGTTGATGGACCAGTGGACTGTGTGCCTGTTATGGATACTTTAGTTGTTTCTGGTGCTCTTGAAGATGATTCAGTAGTTGGTGAGAATTCAATGGCTTCTGCAGTTCTCTCTGTAATGCGAGTGGACACACCAGTTGTTCCTGTTCCTGTGACAGTTTCTCTACTTGTTTGTACTCCTTGAGAGGATGAAGGTCCAGTTGTTGTAGTAGGGCCAGAAGATATTATATTTTTATCTAAAGCTACAGTAGATCCATGTGTGCTCTCTGCTAACTGTGTGGGTGTCTCCTTCACTTCAGGTGATTGGACAGATGTTACAGTCACCCTAGTTGTCTTGCCTGATGTCACAGCCACTTCACCATTTGTCTCTGTACTTCCTGACACTGAGACTGAGGGACTAGCTGCTGATGTGGTACCAGGTGTGTGTCCAGACATAATTGCAACTCTAGATCTTCGTGTAGTTATTGTTGTTTCTCCAGCTGATGTTGCCTTTGCCACAGTTTTTTCAGTTGATGGGCCAGTTGACTGTGTGCCAGTTGCTGATATTTTAGTTGTTTCTGGTACTTCAGATGATGGTCCAGTAGTTGTATGTTGTCCAAGGGATGATGCAGTTCTCTCTGTAATTCCAGTTGACACAGGAACTGTTCCTGTTTCTGTAACAGTTAATTCTACTTAGTATATCTTTTAAAGACCAATATAAGTAAACACTAGTCTCTCAGTTACAATTTTTAGAAAGTTTTATCTTATTTCTTAAAATTTTGACCATCAATTCAATTATTTTTTCTTCTATATCTTCACCTCTAGGAACAAAAGTGTTTTACTGTAAGCACTGCTCCATAAGAGGTAACAATAACCCTTATACAATTTGTATATTTCTTCTTCAATATTTCTCCCATAATAATTATAATAGTAATATCTCAATAAATGTAATGCTTCCAAAATTTAGTTGGTTCTTTAAGTCATTTATAATTGAATTATTAGCAAAGTCCTTGCTCTATCAAATTTTGATCTAAGATCTCCAATTTGTATCAGTTATCCATGATTCCAAATATAAACAATATTTCAATTGCAGCTTCACCCGAAGCCACAATTAGTTGTTAGCTCCTGTGTTTCAGTTAGATCCAATTTGAAAACAACAAGGTTTTAGCTATAGAACTTTGCTTTCTTACAAATGCTATGCATGTAAAAATTCATGGTGAAAATAAGAGTAATTTTATAAGCTTTAATTTAACCAATCATTCTTTTAATTGGATCTTTAAAAAAAATATACTCTCAGACTTGTAAATTCCTGATGTCTTTCTTTGTGTTGATCGTTGCTGGAACAGTTTGATATGCTGTGCCTCCCTGTTTGGTGTTCTGAGCTGGTGGCCCCAGTTAGGGAAGTTCCGCCTGTGCTGTGCTACCTTGCCCCTTAGTAGCTCCCACAAACTCATCTGTCCTACCTAAACAACATGCAAAAAAGTTGGGATTAGATCAACTTCTAAAGTTTCTGAGAAACAAAATCAATTACTAAGTACTCTCTTATATTCCCATTGTGTTCCCCCCCTTTTCCAAATATTTCAATGGTTTTGTTTGTGATCAATACCAATTGATCGGAATGGATAGATTGCTGTGATTATTTGACCCTTTCCTGTATCCCAAGGCAAACTTACTGCCTGGCAGGCTGGTGGTTCTTCCTGTTGCTACACTTGATTTGGCTGAGACTCCAGTTGTCCCTGCTAAACAAAGAGAGAGAAGATTAAAGTAATGTAATCATGCTCAACTAAAACAAGCTCTTGGACTCATGCTGCTCCCGCGACTAGTTTTGTTATCCAAGTCACGTATCCTTCCATCTTAACTGAAGAATTATAGCTGTTCTTACTCAACTACCAGGTCAGTATCTGTCATTAAAGTCCTGGTTATATTCTCTGCTTCAGAATGTTGTATGGTAATAATTCTTAACCAACAACAATCAGCCTTAATTTATAAAGTGTCTAAGAGTCACTGGCTAAGCCTATTAACATGCAAATCCTTCCATGTCTTTGTAGAAACTCCAAGGCTGGGTTTGTGCCCCAAATAGGCTCATGTACAATTTCAGACTGTGGGATAATTATGGAAGGATAAAAAAAAAAAAAAGCTGTCATGACAAGCAACTCAATGGAACACTAGGAGAATCCGGGGCCTCCTACTCTCTTTCTCCCATCTCCTGGTTTCTTTTTTTTTTTTTTTAAGATTTATTTATTTATTATGTATATAACATCCTGTTTCTGTAAGCACATTTGTACACATGAGACCATCATGTCAAGCCTTGCACAACGTATGTGCATATGGACACCCACCCCTTTTTAAAATATCAGGCTGTAGATTGCATATAGGTTCTGTTTCTGCTTTTTCCCTGATCACATTCGGAAACAGATCGTTATATTAGGGCCTCCTCCTTAGTCCTTCGTCATGGTGGCATGGTTAAATTTGCAACAGATTTTCCCTCCTACCACCCCACTCCCATCCCAACCCTCTTTACTGAAGATAAGCTTTTTGTTTCTGATCTGCTTCTGTTAGAAAAACAAAAACACTAACACGAGCAGCATATGTATATGTCACCTTGTAATGCATCACAGAACCCTGTTGCAGGGCTTTGGAGCCAAAGGGTAAATGACTGTAGTTCTGTTTCTTTTGTCTGGCTGGCCTCCATGGGGTTTTCTCATGGTGCGTGCCCATCTGCCAGGCACTAAACACTACCTGTTTCTGCCCGACCTGTCAACATCACTGTTGTCTAACGTTTGGATTTCTGCCAATCCAAAAAGCGAGAAACGACATTTCAGTCTGGTTTGATTTTACATTTTGGAGGTATGTGAATTTGATGTGAATTTGATCATCTATTTCAAACCCCATGCTTCCAATCCCAACCTAGTCCAGTTTATTATTAACTGTAAAATAGTTGGATGGTTATGTGATGGTGCCTGTCATTGTCATTTTCCCTGCCTACATTCAGAGAATGCGTCTGGTGATTCTGTACGAAGATATTGAGCTGATGGCTGAGGAATCTATATTATTTTAGAGAAAAATTCATACATTCCTCCTATGTTTGCTATTCTCTGTGAGACAATGGTAATCCAATGTCTTCTTAGCTTCTCTAGGGAAAACTGTTGTTTCTGTTTCTCTCAGACCAATTATTGTTCAGAATTCCATCACTGAGCTTCTTAATCTTGAGGATACCTTCACTTAATTAACAGAAATTATTAAGCATCTTTTTCCTGAAGGCTCATTTTTCAGCCTTAGCAACGCTACCTTCCTTTCACTTCATTCAGGAACACTTAATGACTCATTTGGCCAACTCCTACCTGCTACTTAGCAATGTTTATCTAATTTTCATCTTTGTACTTTTGGTAAAAGTATTTGTGGTATAAGAAAATATTCAAGCAGCTAATTAGACGTTGCAACAGAGCCATGATAGTTAAGTGATAAGTCCTCCACGGATTCATTCATGAGAACACTATATCCATGTGCATTCTTTCCAAAGAATGATACAGTAGGACTTGTTCTCTTTTATTTATTTATTTATTTATTTATTTATTTATTTATTTTTTGGTAAGGACTTGTTTTTAAAACAATGATTCTGTTAAGACCTCCCACTTGAGGGCTCTTATTGATTATTCTGTGTACATGAAGTCGGTGGATTGTACACACTTGGCTGCACAGTGCTCTTATTGATTATTCTGTGTACATGAAGTCAGTGGATTGTACACACTTGGCTGCGCAGTGCTCTTATTGATTATTCTGTGTACATGAAGTCAGTGGATTGTACATACTTGGCTGCACAGTGCTCTTATTGATTATTCTGTGTACATGAAGTCGGTGGATTGTACACACTTGGCTGCTGTGCATCTCACCCTGCTTCAATAACCAACAGGCCAATTTTTATTATTTCTCCTTTGCAGAAATCGATTCTAAGTTTAGAGATTATTTTCACTTCTGCTTTCCCAACACCTAAAATATATATGTCCTTGTGGTCCTTGAAATTGGATATAGTCCTAAAACTACATGGCACTTCCCTGTGTCCTCAGACATTACTTAAGGTGTATAGACCAGCATCATCATACGCTGGCAATATGGTCTTCTCAAAGCAAAATACATCTGTTACTTTTAACTGCAACTAATAACACCCCTTATCTAAAAGTGAGCTCTGGGCAGATACCCAAAGGACTGCATATCTTACTGCAGAGGCATCTGTGCATCCATATAATGATACTCTTTTTCCTAATAGTAAGGAAATAGAATCAGCCTTGATCTGTCAACAGAAAAGGTGATGATAAGAATATGATACCAATGCAAAGCAGGATTATACATGTGCCAGAGCATGGAAGGATATAAAGCACTTAAAGTGAGGTAACCCAGACTCAGAAAGACAGCACATTCCTCTCATGTGTGAATTCCAGCCTCTGGCTGTGAAACAAACACATCTAGATGGGAGAAAATATGAGTCAAGGCCATGAAATAGGAAAAAGGTGGTCTCGACGAAGGGGATGGAGAAGAAAATGGGATAAAGAAGAAAAGATGTACATGGACAAAAGGAGGTGGGGAGATGGAGGGATTGCAGAGCAGGCTGAGAACCAACACCTTGCCTGACCTGGTGTTGTAACAGTGCCAGAGGCGCCAGTGCCTGGTGTTCGAAGTGAGCTTCCCTTGACAGTTCCTGAACTGGTTCCCACAGATCCCCCTGTTGAACCTGGCAAACACGAACACTGGACTCTAATGCAGTGCTTCTTTTAAGTGGCTACTGGGAAAAGCAGTCTAACTTTCAATGGTCTGCA